TTGAAGTGCGGGTGCTCGAGGATGCGCGCAGCGAGCGGGACGCAATGCTGACCCTAGCGCAAGCCGTCAGCAACGTCATCATCATCAATCATGGGGTCCTCCAGCCAATGTCCTGTATAGGTCCTCAGGGCGTGCTTCAGGCTGTCCAGGTGCGTCAGGGCCACGTTTCGCGCGGGGTCCGCATCCATTAGCTCGTGCTCCCCAGCCGAGTACGTCGATTCCAAAGCCCACTGGGCACAGTTCCCTGGCGCCGAGCCTTGGCCGCGCAGCCTGCTGTCAAAGGCCCGACTTATCATCGTCAGTCGCCACAAGGATGTCCGCGGCCGCCTGAGTTGCGCTGGCAGCGCCGCTGCGAGCGCCCTTCGCCCCTCGCCCCTTGCCGGCTGTGGCGGCCTTGCTGGCGGCGGTCGCAGCCAGGCGCTGACGGCCCGCCTCCAGGGTGTCCACGGCTGCCGCCGCCGTGTTGGCTGGGGGGCGCGGGCTGCGCTCGGGCGGGGGCCTCCTGCGGGCTACCGTTGGCAGTGTCGGCAGCAGGCGGCGCAGCCGCGGCGCCGGGCGGCTAGCCGCGGGCGCTGCGGGGGCAGCGGCCGCGGGGCCCTCGGCAGCGGGCTTGCCAGCAGCGGACGCCTCCCCCGCCGTGCGCATTGAGGAGCTCCCGATCTCACGATGAGCCTTCTCCAGCGCCTGGGCCTCCGTCTTGAACTGGCCGAAGGCCTCCTTCGCCATGGCCGCGAACCTGGCCTGGAGCTCCTCGCGGCGCCGCTGCGCCTCCTGGTGGTCGCCCTCTCCTACCTCGTAATCCTCAAGCGCCCCCTGGCCGAACGATCCTTCGTCGTCGAGCGCCCGCGCCGCCATGCCTTCGAGAATCGCCGAAACGCTGAGCTTCGGGGCTGCAGAAGCAGTGGGCTCCTGGGCGGGCGCCACCGTGGCGGCCAGGGCCTGCGCGGCGTTGGCGTGCACCGCGTTGGCCCCGTCGAGCGCCGTCGTGCATCTGGCGACGTGCTCGGTGGCCAAGGCGAGGTTGCGCTTGGGCTCCTCTGCCTCTGTCACGGCGGCCTCCAGGGCAGCGGCTGCAGCGCCCCGCGCAGCGCCCGCGTCGGCCGCGGACAGGGGCTTCGCCAGCCGCTGGGTCCTGAGCGCGTCCACCTGCTTCTTGTACTTCGCCTCGCCTTGCTCGCCCCCCGAGAGGCGCAGGAACTCCGCCAACTGCGCCGGCTTGGCCTCCTCGGCGTCGGCGTCGGCGTCGGCCTCCAGGTGCGTGGCGCCAGCAACTCGGGCGCCCAGGCTGCAGCTTCGCTTGCGCTCGCTTGCGCTCCGCGCGCTGGGCCCACCAGTGCCTGCACCGCAACCGCCTGCGGAGCCTCCGTTCTCGGCAGGTCGTCCGCGGCCTGGCGAAGCGGCCTGGCGCCAGGGCGGCTCGCGGGCGCTGCGGCCGCGGCTGGAGGGCCTGCGGCGGCCGCCAGCGCCGCCAGCAGCAGGGGCGCCAGGGGGGGGGGGAGGCGCCATGGGGGGAGGGAGGGGGGAAAGGGGTGGGGGGAGGGGAGAGAGATGGGGGGGGGGGCGGAGGAGGAAGAGGGGAGGGCAGATGGGGAGGGCACGAGACGAGGGCGGGGGGAAAGGAACATCTAGGCCATCTGGCCGAGAGCGGCAGGCTGAGGCGTGCGGGGCAGGGGGGCCCATCCAGACCCCCGATATTTGTTCGCGGCGTGGGCCTCCCGAGGCATCCGACCCGTCTCTGCTTCTCGTTCGCTCCTCGCTCGTTCCGCCTCCCTTCGTTCGCGCCTCGTTCGTCGCTCGCTCCTCGCTCGTTTCGCGCTCGTGCCTCGTCGAGGAGGTGTGAGCTCCTCCTCCTTCTCCTCCTCCTCCTCCTCCTCCTCCTCCTCCTCCTCCTCCTCGTCCCTCCTCCCGCCTCCTTCCTCCATGCGTCCCTCCCCTCCTCCCTCCTCCCCTCCTCCCTCCTCCCTCCTCCCTTACTCCCTCCTCCCTCTTTCTCTCCTCTCTCCTTCCTCGTTCCTGCCTCCATCCTCCTCCCCTTCACTCCCGTCCTCCTCCTCCTCCCCTCCTCCTCCTCATCCTCCTCCCCTCATCCTCCTCCTCCTCCTCCTCCTCCTCGTCCCTCCTCCTCGTCCTCCTCGTCTCCTCCTCCTCCTCCTCCTCTCCTCCTCCCCCTCCCTCCTCCCTCTTCCTCCCTCCCTCCCTCCTCCCCCTCCCTCCTTCCCTCTTTGATATTCCTGATATTCCTCGCTCGTCCTCTTTTCCTCCCTCCTGCCTCTCCCCCTCTCCTCCTCCATCCTCCTCTCCTCCTCCTCTTCCTCCTCCTCTCCTCCTCCTCCTCCTCCTCCTCCTCCTCCCTCCTCTCCTCCTCCTCCTCCGCCTCCTCGTCCTCCTCCTCCTCCTCCTCCCTCCTCCTCCTCCATCCCCTCCTCCTCCTCCTCCCTCCTCCTCCTCCTCCTCCTCCTCCTCCTCCTCCTCCTCCTCCTCCTCCCCCTTCTCCTCCTCCTTCTCCTCCTCTCCTCCTCCTTTTTCTTCTCGCTCCTCCTCCTCCTCCTCCTCCTCCTCCTCTCCTCCTCCTCCTCCTCCTCCTCCTCCTCTCCTCCCTCCTCCTCACTCCCTCCTCCCTCCGCCCTCCTCCCTCCTCCCTCCGCCCTCCTCCTCCTCCCTCTCCCCCTCCCTCCTCCCTCCTCCCTCCTCCCTCCTCCTCCTCCCTCCCTCCCTCCTCCCGTCCTCCCTCCTCCTCCTCCTCCTCCTCCCCCTCCTCCCTCCTCCTCCTCCCTCCTCCCTCCCTCCTCCTTCGCCTCCTTCCTCTCCTTCCTCCGCCTTCCTCCTCCTCCTCCTCACTCCTCTCCTCCTCCTCCTCCTCCTCCTCCTCCTCCTCCCCTCCTCTCCTCCTCCTCCTCCTCCCCCTCCTCCCCATTGGGGGCAGGCTTGTGCTCCTCGCTCGTCGCTGCGCTGGCCCCCAGGGCGTGGAGGCGTGCCCCGCGGGCTGAGAGACGCCCCTTCTCCCGTCGTCGCGATGCTGCCACGACCCGAGGAGGTATGAGCTCCTCCCTCCCTCCTTCCTCCTCCTCCTCCTCTTCCTTCTTCCTCCTTCCTCCTTCCTCCTTCCTCTTTCCTCCTTCCTCCTTCCCTCCTTCCCTCCTCCTCCTCCTCCTTCCTCCTTCCTCCTCCTCCTCCTCCTCCTCCTTCCTCCATCCTCCTTTCCTCCTCTTTCCTCCTCCCTCCTTCCTCCTTTATTCTTACTCCTTCCTCTTTCCTCCTTCCTCCTTCCTCCTCCTTCCTCCTCTTCCTTCCTCCTTCCGCCCTCCTTACTCCTCCTCCTCCTCCTCCTCCTCCTTCCTCCTTCCTCCTTCCTCCCCTTGGGCAGCCCCAGGCACGCAGGCCGTCCTCGTCGCACCGCGTGCAGCCATCGGCAGGACCCGCGCACCCGAGGTCGCTCTTGCCTGGGGCACTCCTGTTCGGGTGCAGTTCCTGGGAGGGCAGGTTCGGCATCGGTGCTGGTAGACCCGTGGTCGAAAAGACGCCTAATCCAGTACTATCCTATTCTCGGAGGTTGATCGACCTCCTACACTGACACGTCGATTAGCGAATTGGCCGTTTTCGGTTCGCGAGAGGGCGTCCCGGCCGTGATCTTTGCGGGTCCAGGTCCGTCGGTTTCGGTCCAAGGCCGTTTTCCTAAATGGTGGTTTACTAAAGAGAGGTTTGTCCTGCTTACTCCCGCTAATTCCGGCTGAATCTGGCTTAATCCTGGGTGTAATTTTGGCGAGGCCGGCCTATTGGATGATCGCTGGTGCAGTCGGGGCGCTAAACAAGGAACCCTTTTCGTTGCGGAGGGGCTCTGTGTTCCTTGATTGTTTCGCAGCTTGCCTCAGGCTGTCTCTGGGTTTTCGATGGGGAGTCGAAATTCAGCTTATGGAAAAAGAGGGGCCTCGTTCCTTACTTATTTAGGGTTCCTTACGTCAACGTCCCGACTGTGCATCCGTGGTCGAAAAGATGCCCAATCCAGTACAATCCTAGTCAATCCTGCTTACTCCAGCTAATTCTGGCTGAATCTGGCTTGATCCTGGGTGTAATTCAGGCGAGTCTGGCCTGCTGGATGATCAATTGGGCCGAATAGCCCTTAATCTTTCTTGCGAAGACCCCCCCAGGAGCTGCTTCCTGACTCCTGCGTGCAGCCGAGCCTGGCCTGCGCGACCAACTGCAAACCACCCTACCCTTGCCGGTCCAATCGGCGTCGGGGTATCGGACGTCCTCCCGCTGGGCTTCACCTGGCTGCAGGCATCCTTCGAATTCGGACCCCCCCGCTGGCGCTTCAGAACTCTGACCTGCAGGGGTAGGGTTCACATGTGGTTGCCTACTCTGGGTTTCCAGATGAGCTTGGGTGGGGGGGTACTCCCCCGACAGCCTCGCCTCGTCGTCGCGCCGCGACGAGTGGTCGGTGCGTCTTCGGCGCACGGTGGCTGCCCGCGACGGGGTTCGATGCAGGGCTGTCGGCGGGGGTGACGCCCCCCGACTCTTGTTAAGAAACTCGGAGTATGTGTCCTGGCTCGCTTAGATGCCCACCAAAGAATGTTCTCAGAGCCTTTTGTGGTTTGCACGAGCTGTTCTTGGAACACTTCTGGCCGAGTCTGTTTGGTTTTAGCACGTCGGGCTCATGTTCTAAGAACCTTGTTTTGGTGATTCGAACATCCTGGGGTTCTGAGAACATGTCGTGATAGGCCCATAGGAATGCCCGGACAGTCGGTCCCTGCTCAAGAAGAGGGCCTTCTCCGCTCCCGTTCCCCTTGGCGGGCGCCCCGCGCGGCCCCCCGCCCTGCTCGGCCACGCGCAGAGGGGGGTGGGGGGCGGGGGGAGGGCTTCTTGGAAGCACCCCTGCTGCTCAGCAGGCGCGGGCCTCATCCACAGGATGTCAGGCCGGCGCCTTCTGAGAAGCAGCCTCCTTCCGAGAAGCCCTCCCCCCCCCCCTCCCCCCCCCTCTGCGCGCGCCGCCCAGCTTGCAAGAGGCGGCGTGCTCACGCCCCGCATGCAGCTCCTGCTGCTCGCCGGCTGCGAGCGGGGCCTGGCCGCGCTCGAGGAGGAGCCCCGGCAGCCCCGCCGCCCCCGCAGCACTCTCGGGGGCGGCCAGGGGGGGGGGGGCTGGTGACGAGGGTCACCGAGCGCGCTCCACTTCTCGCAAAGGGCCTGCTCGCAAAACGTCCGAAGAGCACAGGTCCGTCTCGATGCAACTTGTCGCAGATCCCCCTCGGCGGATCCGGGCCATTTGCGAGTCGTTCCTCTGCGAGTAGCGGAGCGCGCTTGTTTATAGGGGGGGGGATATCGTGGCGAGGGCTGTGATGTCTCCTCAGCTTTCATGGCGCCTCTTCTTGTTTCAGTGCGTCCCCGGCACCCTCTCCTGGGCCGCGCGCATGCCGCATGCCATGATTTGCACCCCCCCCTCTTGGACGCCCCCCTCCTTGGCCGCCCCCGAAGCACCGCCTTGGGGGACGGGGGGGGGACCGACGCCGCAGCTGTGTGGGAGGTCGGTCGGACACGTCAGGCGACCGCAAACATTAAGTCGGGCCTGTCCCTCTACAGGGGGAGTATTCAAAAATAGTCGAGGGACGATTTTTTGAGCTTCTTTTTGGGGGTGGTGGCAATTTTCAGTATTTTCTGAAACTTTGTAAGTTTCTGGCCCCAAGCCCCCCTGTAGGGGGACAGGCCCGACCTAGCGCAAACATGGATCGAGGGGGCGTGGATTAGGTGATGGTTTTTGAAACGTTGTTTTTCCCGATCGGCCCCCCGCCCCCCTCCCCCCCCATAGAGTAGATCTTGGTTGTTTTTAGCGTCTGTTTCGAGCGGGTGGGGTCTCCCCCAGAGGCAGCACTCTTGTAAACAGTCGCACTAAGCAGAGGTCTGGAGCCAGACCCCCCCCCTCCCCCCCCTTTCCCACCCCCCCTTTCCGCTCAAAAACGCTCACCAGCGACGGGCCCCCTTTCCACGGGCAATTGCGGAGTTCCGCCGCCGAGCGAGGCGGCAGCGGCGGCCGCCGAGCGAGGCGGCAGCGGCACCTCCCCCGATCCATGGACTCGGCGACCGCGCACCGAGTCCATGGAGCTCGAGTCCACGCCTGGCGCGCCCCCGACCAGCGGCGCGGCCGCTGTGCCTTCGCAGGTGGCGCACGCCGCGTGCGCGAGGGGGGGGGAACTCTTGTTCGGCGTTTCCGCCGCCGACAGCTTGGGATGGAGGAGGCGGCAGCGGCCGCATTTTAGGGAGGGCACCTCCCCCGATCCACGGACGTGGCGGCCGCGCGCCGGATCCACGGAGCCCGAATCCGCGCCTGCGCGCCCCCGACCAGTGTCGGGAGGAGGCCCCGGCCGCTCCAGAGGAGGCAGGCCGTGCGGCCGGACTCCTCCTGGCGCGCCGGCGTCGCAGGAGCGGGCGTTTGCTCGGAAGACGACAGCCTGGTGACGATTTTTCGACTATTTCTGAGTACTTCTCCTCCTCCTCCTCCTCCTCCTCCTCCTCCTCCTCCTCCTCGATGCATCCCCCCCGGAGTACGTCCCCTCTGACGTTTCATGGCTCCAACGTCGCAGAGCAGACTTCGTTCGGGAAACGACAGGATGGGCCCAGAGTGTCCTGGATCATTTCGCTCCGGATTTCGAGGTGACTCTCGTGCGGATTTTTGCCTTGGGTCCCAGGAAGGAAGACGAACAAAAAACCATCCACGCGAAATCCACTTCGTTCTTCATTCGCCGCGTCGAAGTTCAGCACCGACAGACATCCGCGCGAAAATCCGCTGCAGCACGTCCGCAAGGCCGGTGCAGCGAAGACTCTGGGAGAGGGGGGGGGGCGACGGAAGAAGGCGAGGGCGAGGAGGGGCGCCCCTCGCGGGGGGGGGTCCCCAGGCGGGAGGCGCGGGGGCCGAGCTCCCCCCTCCGGCGGCGCCGCCCTGCTCGCCCGAAGGCTCGGGTGCCCTGCTCCTCCCCCCCACCTCCCCGCGCACCCGCGGCGAGTGCAGGGCGGAGGCTCCCGTTGGCCTCGGCCGTGGCGCCCTCCTCCTCCCCGCTGCCGCCCTGCCTCTGCCTTCCCCTCTCGCCCGCTCCTGCGGCTCCGTGGCCCCCCCCCCGCCGCCCCAGAGCCGCCGCGTCTTCCCGGGCCCGCCACCTCTCTTTCGGCCTCGCCCTGGGGGCTCCCCTGCGCTCGTCGCGCACTGTGGCCGCCTCTGCGTCGTGTGCAGAGGTGCTTGGGGAAGGGGACGCGACGACACCACCACCGCCAGGGGGCCACCTCCAGCGAGGAGATCCGCGGTGCCTCCCCGAGCCGTGGAGAGGGGACGTCATCGAGCGAGAGGGGGGGGGCCGCACCACCAGGGGGACACCCCCCCCCTGGCTCTTCCCGCTGGTGGTGGTGGTGGTGTCGCTTCTCCTTGCTCCCAAAGGTATGGACGCATTGCTCCAACATGTGCTCCCCGCACATGTGCTCCAACAGAACTCCTCCTCCTCCTCCTCCTCCTCCTCCTTCTCCTCATCCTTACGACGATTTCCCCCGTGGTGACGACGGCCTCAACCACGTGGGGTCCTCCAGCGGCGGCGGCGGCTCTGGTCGCTGGAGGGACTCCTGAGGTCTGGCGTGCTCGCGGGCGCGCTGGCGCTGCCTGCGCTGGGCCTTAAGGCCTGACGGCCTGGCGTGGTCGCGGGGGCGGCAGTGCTCTCGGGGCGGGCCGCGGTTCACCGCGCCTCGCACTATGGCGCGCTCCTCCTCCTCCTCCTCCTCCTCCTCCTCCTCCCTTCCTCTCCTCCTCCTCCTCCTCCTCCTCCTCCTCCTCCTCCCCTCCTCATCTTCATCATCCCCCTCTTCCTCCTCCTTCTCCTCCTCCTCCCCGCTCACCTTCATCATCATCATCCCCCTCCTCCTCCTCCTCCGCCGCTCCTTCCTCCTCCTCCTCCCTCCTCCTCCTCCTCCTCCTCCTCCTTCCTCCTCCTCCTCCTCGTCTTGCTCCGCTTCTCCCCTCGGCGCGCCGCCGAGCCGGGCCTCCCCCGCGGCGGCGTTTTTTGGCCGCCCGCCGCAGCCCTCCCTCGCCCCCTCGGCGTGCCGCGAGGGCGCGGGCGGCTTCGCGGACGGCGTTCCAGGCGGGGCCCCCCGCCGGGATCCTCCTCCTCCTCCTCCTCCTCCTCCTCCTCCTCCTCCTCTCTCCTCCTCCTCCCCCTCCCCCCTCCTCTCCTCCTCCTCCCCTCCTCCTCCTCCTCCTCCTCCTCCTACCTCCTCCTCCTCCTCCTCCTCCTCCTCCTCCCTCCTCCTCCCCCTCCTTTCCCTCCTCCTCCTCCTCCTCCTCCTCCTCCGTCTCCTCCTCAGCGAGGGGTCTGCCGGGATCGGAGGCGACGGCCGTTTTGCGAAGCGCAGCGTGCCACGGAGAGGAGGGGCGGGGAGGAGAGAACAGGCCCGCCATCCCAAGGTTCTTGGTAGGGAGTACGCCCAGCCGCCTCAGTCCTCAAGGGGGCAGGGAGTGGCGCCGCCAAGGGCGGGGAGGGTTGCACCGTACCGAAACGTTGAACGCCGGCGGCGGCCCAGAATCGGTCGATGTTGAACGATGTGACGTTTCGGAAGCTGCCGATCGTTCAAGCTTGAACGATCCCCGCGGTGTCAGAGACCAACGCCGAAGTCGACACGACACGAACCTGCCATAACCATACCGCTACCCTTCGCCCGTTTTCCCCTTTCTGGCCTCCATCCCAGGAGAGGTCCGGGGAGTAGCGGTAAGTATCGGTACCTTTCGGCTTCCCAACTACACGTCTTCGCCTGGGAGCTTCGCCGAAGACATTCACCGTCGGCGCCCCTGGATACATCTGACCATCGGTCGTTGAAAAGAGGTATTTGTAGATTCCCAGATTCCAATCTACTTTAAGCGCCTTCCTACTTCAATGATCGAGCGGACGGAACCCAATCTACTTTCAACACCTTCCTACTCCATGTTTCTACCTATTTCTTCCGACCTATGGGTGCTGTTCCCCCCTGGGCTATTCGCCCCCATCGTCGCCCCCGACGGGAAGGGTGATCCGCAGAGAGCGCCAGTGCTCGCGCCTCCGCTGGTGCTGAGGCAGGGCCCTGTCGGGTGGCCCTGGCCTGGCACTGGTGCTGGTGTACGGGGTGCCCTCCGCGTGGATGACGGTGAAGGAGGGATAGGATGACGAGAATGAGGAGGAGGAGGAGCAGGAGGAGGAGGAGGAGCAGGAGGAGGAGGAGGAGGAGGAGGGGAAGGAGTGAGGAGGGAGGCGCAAAGAAAACGAGAGAGAGAGAGAGTCAGAGGATGAGGGCAGTAGTGGAACCTCCGATGGATTGAGCACCTTCCTCTCAGCCTACAGCTGGCACGAGGCTTAAGATCAATCATAAGTTTGGAAAGGTGCCCTTATGTTCTTCGCCGTTGTGCTCTCCACCTCGGAATGCTTTTCGTTTTGGATACCTCCATGGGGCATTGGGTTCTCGGCGAAGGGGCCATGCTCTTGATTCACGTTCTTGTGACCTTGTTTCGACTGTACTTGATATGCTAGGTTCTCTGTAATGGCTTCGCCCCCTGCCGCCGGCCTCCATTACCGTAATGGGACATAACAGAGTCGCGTCGGTGCGTCTCGGCGCTGTCTTGGCGCATCTGGGAACAGCAGGCGGGGGCGGATAGAAGTCACCAGCGCATCTTGAAACGTTGGCGTTATCGAAGACGCCTACGCCGAATTACCGCTGCCCCCTGCCCCTTTGGAAGCGCCTCTGTGGCCGACAGCTTGGCCAGAGCTTGGCCAAGTTATCGGGCCAGTTGTTCCCCGAGTGATTTTGGAAAGACTTCGGGGAACGCATGGGGGAGCAAGAAGTGGAGGAGGGGGAGGATGAGGAAAATAGAGGAGGAGGAGGAGGAGGAGGAGGAGGAGGAGGAGGAGGAGGAGGAGGAGGGAGGAGGGAGGAGGAAGGAGGAGGGGGGAGGTGGAGGAGGGGGGAGTGGAGGAGGAGGAGGAGGAGGAGGAGGAGGAGGAAGGAGGAGGAGGAGGAGGAGGAGGAGGCCTCTTGGGCGCCTCTTGGGGCACTCTTGGGGCCTCCTGGGAGCTTCCTGGGGGC